CGCATAGGGCACAAAAGCACAACGGCGATGATTTTGAAGTGAATGTGCGGATCCTAGCGCAGGAATCAAAAACATCAACGCGCAAAACTCTTGAGGCGTTTTGGATAAATTTCAAAAATCCAAAGATGAACCGGAAGGACGAATGCCTCACTATCACACGTGACCTGGCGCCCTATTTCAAAATGATATTTTGACCCCGGGGCGTGTCTTGCTCGCGACTCCACGTGAACTACGTGTGGGCCAGTCCCGCACGTAACATCACGGTGAGTGGCCTTTCTGTTCAATATGGCGTCTATTTGAAAGTTTGATCTTCATTAATACCTTAACCTTCTTTTCCACCGAATAATAAAAAGTATTCTAACATAAAGTACGTCCAGGCTCTGAGGAAGGCGAAGTCGCCGAAACGTCAGCCATCGATCAATAACATCAAAAACAACGACAACGACAACGACAACGAAGATCTGTACCAACCTCGCGTCAGCTTAAGAAGATCAGTTTATAAGATCTCATAAATAAATATATCAACTATTTATGCCGAGGTTCATAGAAAGTCGGTCTTTCGAGTTACGCTATAATGATTTTACTAATACTACTTGAATTCAAATGCGACCCAGTTTTTCTGTAAGGATAAGGCGTTTTACAAGAAATGTAAGGCAAAGCTGAACCTGTAGATGTGGCCACGACACTTCCAGCGTTGGTTCATCTTCTTCAGGATCAAATTCGGAATTGTCTGACGGAGGTAACACACGGAATATATTCTTCGAAACCATTCTGATCACCTTCAATAAACAAATGGTGTTTGGATGGAATGGAAAATATAAAAGTTACTATTTAAGTCTGAAGAAGTCATTATAAAAAGCTAGTTAATTACAACATTTAAAATGCTCCAAAAAGGAACACTTTTGACGTAGTTTCTTCACAAACGATTGACACTGTAATAAGCCAATAACAATAAATTGCCGATAAGACTATAAGTTAATAAACAAGTTAGTAATTGAATTATTAACTAATAAGTAGATAAGTTAATAACAAACTCTGTAGCGTTTAAAGGTAACCAACAAAAAGTATAAAAATTGAATTCGTCAATTGATGATCGACAATGGTTTAGTAGTTAACACTCTGTGTCATACGATCAATACCTGAAGACATTCTTTAATCCAACTTCAATGCATGAATCTTACTGAAAAGACAGACCTATAAGTTAAACAACACCAATCAACGACTGCTTATCGACAGGTAACCATGGATAATTCTAGATGATGCGGAGTAAAACTAATTCTAGAAAAGACCAAACAGAGAAACACCCGAATAAGGTTGGACGAATGAAGAAATCGTTAGGGTATTGGAACAAAATTAAACAAAAAGGGAAAAAATGTTTTAACAGAATCATAACAGTACTGATTTTTCGATAACTACAGATAAATCCTGAACGCACAGTTGAGAATCTGGGAACTTGACTAACCTGTAGAAAAATTCTGCCATACCCTACCAAATCCCACGCATTTCTTTCTATAATATACTTCTGTGTATAATACTACTTATACTATCACTTTCTTGCCGATTTTTACATTTGTTGGATTTGGAAAAAAAATTAAAAACCATTAGTGCGATATCCTTTGTATTTATTAGAAAAAAAAACCACAGCAACCTCCCACATCAATTATACATCTGGGGATACCATCGCGTTCTATTAAATGCTTATCCAAGCACTTCGCTTCTCGAAATAGAAGTCTCGGTAAAAAAAAAAAGCGCAGTTAAAAACGTGAACGATTCCTGCACTCACGGAATTTATTATCTTTGAACGGAATATTCAAGTAACAAAGAAGTCAGTGACAGGATCGGGGCTTAACACACTTCTCAAAGGTGTACTGATTGATCAGCTGTATTAGTATTGAAAACCATCAAAATACCTGGTTTAGTCTTGCATAAGGTCCTAACTTGGAGCGTGTTGCACTGTGGTTGAAGGCACTCTGCCATCGACATGGGATCGATCCTGCACCCCAAGTTCATCAAACCTTCCATCTCAACGGTGTCGAAAATTTCGTACCAGACCTTTTTAGGAGGACAGCAGCATGACTCGATACATCGGTAGTCCATCGCGAGTCATTATATAGGCCAGATGTGGATTCAATCACCTCGAATGGTGCTTAATGAAGGCGAAGAATGTAAAGCACATTCTTTAAGGATTGATCAACGTTGACATCTGTGTCTTTTATCATTTGTGAGAGTCTAATTTAAGGTTTATTTTGCACTTCGTCTAATCCACAAAGATTTTGTTAGAACCACGCACTATATCACTATGTGAACTTTTTGGATGATTTCTACAACCGTTATTTGCTTATTTGCCTATCCGAATTCTGATTGCCTCTCACAAATTTTATTTTCCCTTCGCTAGAACGTCTAAAATGATCTGTTTTCTGTAACAGAAGTTATTGTCATTAAGAAATCATATAGGGCCATAGTCACATAATTTCTTTGCTTCAATAGCTACCATATCATTTTTACAATATTATTGGCCTAGGAATGACACGTACACCTCACTTGAAAAGGCGCGTCGCAGTTGTTCATGTACGCCTTTCATCGCCTTTTCATTAGGTAGATATCACGTGATCATATTCGTTGCATAAAGATATTTCTACCTTAAAAGATGTGTGTCTCAAAGGAGAAATAATTTACGCAACAACGTTTGCACGTCCCTCATAAAAGATGCAAGTGATGACAAATTCATCTGAGCAAAACTTTTATTGTATTATCGGAACAGGCCGAGAAGTGAATTGGTAACGTCAGTCTGATAAAAAATAAATCCAACCTTCAAAAACACCACAGTCCTATTACGAATACATCTCGTTTGCAGGATAGGCATCCAGGTTGTTGAAAAAAAACCAAACCGTTCGACTGCACAAGAAATACTGCACGACGTTCGTGACCGTCGTGCAATCCGGCTGTTGTTCGTCGTCCATGAACTGTTTAGTCCAGTTATTTCCAACATGAGTGACATACTATTGGAATAGGAAAAACTAAGCAGCTAGGGATTCTAACATGCTCAGTGTGGAAGAACATTTTCACACGGTTATCAGCTAGGTGGAACCAATGCGAACCGATTCTGATGAAGCGCATAGAACCGTCGATCTAGAAAATTCAGAACGGATAAAATAAGAGACGAACTTTTTCCTGAGACGTAAGAAAATGAATACTTCACACATCTACATGCGAAAAAGATGAACGGAGATTAGTGATGCTCACCCACATTACCCAATAATCATCGGAAATACAAATGATAGAGGGATTATTGCCCTCCATCTTCTATTCGGTACAAGCACATACTTTAAAGAAATAAGACACACGTATTTCAATTTAAACACATACGGCTCCAAGTCTAGTTTTCACTGGCGAGGCAACACCGAACTGGCAGTGACTCCGCGTATTTCTCTCCAAGTAAGTCTAGACTTAACAGACATAGAACAAGTTTTATCCAGTCGCAATAAGGGTACACGTAATATTTTCAAAATAGCATTAGAATTCTAAACGTACTCAAAATTCAACCTCCAAATAAAATCCTATAGTACTACTCGACTTCATTAAGCATCGTTGGAGGTGACTGAATTCATATTACGTCTTTACAATGAAGTTACCGTAGCCTACCGATGTACCAAGCCAGCACTGCTATCTTCCCCGACCTGTCTGGTATCAATTTGCCAAACGCGGAGTGATGGAGGGCTGGTGCGCCTGGGGGCGGAGATCGATCCTATGTGTATTGCAGAGCACCTCTGACCACTGCGCTATATGACCCCTTCCCAATAAAGCAGAAATTAAGAATTTTAATCTTAACCTTTTTATTTACTGCCTATTCTTTCTAACGGCAAGATATTTTGCGAAATATAACTATTATAATGCTGAAATGTTTGCAAACTCTGGACCGCAGGTGTCTGCGGTGGGGAACGAACGCGCTATTGTCCTTCCCGGGAGCAACGCGTTCACCACCACACCATGCGGGTCCTTCGTTTCGCCGGTCTCTCAGCTCTCATCGATAGAACTAGCCGAGAAACAGGCGAAACGAAGAACCAGCATGGTGTGGTGGTAAACGCATACTCCCCGGAAAGGACAATAGCGCGTTCGTTCCTCACCGCAGACACCTGCGGTCCGGAGTTTTGCAAATAACTCAGCATTATAATAAGAATCTTAGCATTCATTAACACACGATAGACAGTCGTAAAAGTCAGAATAGGAAGGCGATCTCGTAGTTTGTTAGATGAAAACTTATTTGTTTAACCGCATACCCATTTGAAATGTGAGCCTTTAAAACAAAAAAAAAAAGACAAAATACACTTTATGGGCTATATAAATTCCTAATTTCGCTCCAAGATGAGAAAACCCGCGTCTTCGGCAAACATCTGTAAATCCGAACAACTTTTATTTGTTTTTCAAAGTTGATAGGCTTGATAGACGCAGACGCTTTCGGTAATGCATTAGTTGAACTACATCTATATTAATCCGTATAAATTAAATAACGTTAATCTCAAAATGGACGCAAAATTAGAAAAAACCACCGAAGCGAACAGATAACGAAAACAAATGGTGCTTCTTCTATCAATTCTTCGTACAACTTAGTTCCGCAGAAAGTATTAAAAGCGGAATCCGTAGAAACCTGGGAAACCAATCGCGTCGCTACTTAACGGACGAGAATGAGAGCTCGGGCAACAAGCAGCGACTGTATCCAAAAAGAAGACAAACTAGGACCAATCCAGGATGCATTAAAAACTCATGAACCAACCGATAATGAACCAGGGATTTGTACTATCTAAATGTACAGTAATGCTAGTATTGGTCCAATTCGTTGGTTTCGTTTCAAGCACTTTGCTGATCCTAGCCCTAAACACGGTGAGTTAAAATATTACCCAGCACTATAGCGGGTGAAAGGAAAATTCAATACCACCATATTATAAAATATCCGCTTAACTTCCCCTAAAATTTTTAACATGTATACCACAACTAAAATGATATACTAAAAATACAAGGATAGGCTAAAAAAAAGTTGTTATCAGTACCTAAACCACTAGATCAAATATGTGCACTTCTAACGGGAATGTATAACGTAATAGCAGTAATAATATGGTTGTTACTACACAAATGTACATTAATGGTATTATTAGTCCAATTCGTCGGTTTAATAGCATGACTGTAATCACATTAATAACAGTAAAAGATAAAGCTCTCAGAACTGACGATCCCTGAAGGATGCGCCATGCATTCGACCTTATTAAACATCTCTAGAAGGGATTGAATGCTTGACTGGCCTTTATAGGGACTCGCAGTGGGCTAGTGATATATTGAGCCAGTGCTGTTACCTTCCCAAACAAGTCTGGTACTAATCTGCCTACCCCGGAGGGAGAGCTTGGTGGGCCTGAGGCACGGAGATCAATCCCGTGTGTATTGCGAGGCGCCTCTGACCACTGCGCTGCATGCGCCCCGTAATAGTAACAGTAGCAACAACGACAGCAGTTGTAGTGACAATAATAGTAACAGTAGCAGCATCGATAACTATATCACAGAAATGATGTACGAAACAATAACGATCACCTTGGTGAAAGCCCCCGCACCGCCTCCTTTGAAATGGTACCCTACGTGTTAGAATGTACTTTCACCAATAATTTCTCAACTTCAATGTGATGAATCTTAACTTATGCGGATATCCTTTACTTCTATGCCGGCAATCAGGAGAATCATAGCTTTCTTCGCTTTTTTTAGATTCATTTCCAAAAAAAAGCATCCCAATGAGAACAATACAAGGGCACCCAACTAGTATCAAGTGCTGTCTTGTATTTGCTACGTTCAAAAAAACTAATACTTAGGAGAACATTATCGAACCGTTATATCGAAAAACAACGTAAACAAATCAACAGATTCCGCTGAAGATCAATACCATACCTCAGGATAAATAGATTCCACAATTGCTCCTTTAGTAGTTGTTATATGATCAATAAGTTCGTTCAATGCCGCGCGTTTAATCTAAAAACCATTCGTTAAATAATGTTAACTTTTTTATCCCCTGCTTACCATTTTTTTTCACGGCATGGTATTAGTGTGATACAACCACAACGATGCTGAGATATTTGCAAAACTCTGGACCGCAGATGTCTGCGGTGGGTAACGAACGCGCCATTAGCCTTTCCGGGGCTAACGCGTTCACTACCACACCATGCGGGTCCTTCGCCTCGCCTTTCTCTCAACTAGTTTTCCACCTACCAGTGCCATCAGCGGTCACCCATCAATTCGTTAAATAATAGAAATAATCTTGCATAGAACAACAGTAACTTTTGAAACTACGAGTTGCCAAAATACAAAACTACACAGTTCCAACTCATTCATATCTCCCACTATACTAAAAATCCACGTTGTATATAAATCATTACACAAACCACTTCACTTAAGATTGAGTGAAAGAAAGGAGTACGTTACCTCTTTACTCTTCAGTTGCGCAACTGGATCGTAGAAGTCAAAGATTTTTTGGCACTGAACCAGCTTTTGAAGAACAAGAGATGGTTGTTCGTTCGGCGGAGTATCTGCATGGAAGAAGTGGGAAGTTCATATATTTAAAGAATTTCCTACTTTGGAAACAAATCCAGGAAGAAATGAGAAAGACAACATATATGTTTGGCTGCAATCTCACCTTTAATCAATGGAAGCTGAACCAATTCAGGTTCATTTTCAGTGTGGTATCTGCTGCTGTTGACAATTCTTCTATAAGGAATATTAGAAAGAAATTTAACTGGTGCCAAGTGTAGAATAGAGGTTCCAGTCAGACATACCTTCTCCTACTCGTACCTCGCTTGCTGAATGGGTCAATTTTGTCCACAAATTGATTAGCTGTCGCTGAAAGTTGTTGACCACCAGTTGCTGCCCCCTGCAATGCTGAGATGTTCTGTAGAATAAAAATGCTTCCACTCTTTATCAGCCAGAAAGGTTTAGGAATAAGCATGATAACCCAACCCTCCCAACGGTTTACCGCCTCATCGTAGCTGCGAGATGTTCCTCGGTGTAGGGCTGTGATGTACAGCAGGAGGACTCATCCTCTTAGCACGACCTCCCAAGCTTAGAAAGGATCCAACGTTTCCACCAGGAAGCACAACTACGAGTAAACCAATACCAAGATCTACCTCCGTCCTGGTACCGAACTAGCGACATGGTGGCGAATTTCCCTCTTATCGTTAAGTGCGGCGACTGCCCGTAGTGGTGACGACCTGGACAGACTGGCCAGGCCGACCTCGGGACTTCACTGAGCCATAATAGCTAAACCAGCAAAACTCCGAAACAATGGGAATTATGCTGGGGATCGCACAATCAGTGAAGATGGGCCATCCAAGTATCCAAGTAATTGTGATAACCAAACTACTAAAAGACAAACTACCGTTGGTTTTCTGCTGAACTTTTTGTAAGAAAGGAAACTATACGAGAATTGTAAAACGAAAGCTTAAAAGTATGGAGAAAAAGGAAACAAAACAATTATAAAATAAGATAAAACTACAGAAATATCGAAACTGTGACACAAAAACTCCAATGTTTACCTGGGTTCTTGGTCCAGGAACTTGATGAGGAGTACCTCCCATGAGGCTATGATGACCGATTCCAGCCGACATCAGCAAACGTCTGATTTAAAAGCTGAGCAGAGAAATGATACCACTGACAACCACTTTAGTTGATGGCCCGATCGATATGTATCAGATCGATGCCTCTGCACTCTCTAGAAAAGCCCAAGCATACGGATCTAATGTTAGGAAGACAGTGTTGCTAAAGGAATGTGCACAGTCAAAGGAAAGTTGCCGATACACGGACTGTAGATCAAGTTGTACGAACCATAAATTACAGAGAGAACTTTCGAAAACTGTGTTTAAACAATACTACACAAAAGTATAAGGAATAAAAAAAGGTGTGGAATGGATGGATATTGATTTTTGGGTCCCCTTCGCCAAGTAGTAGTAGAGGGCAATCTGAATATCAAAGAAAAATATGAAGGACAAAGCAAGGAAACCATGATATGAGAGAAGAGCTTACCAATCAGGATTCCCCTCAGGATTCCTCCTAGAACAAGTAAGTCCTACGGAAAAAATCCTTCGTGTCGCTACGTGCTACAACGAGTTGCGGCCTTCCTCAATGTGTAATACGGCTCATAAAGCAGAAGAAATCGACATACCGAGAAATCACCTATCATTCTTAGGATACAAAGAGCATTACGAAAATAATTCTTAAGCAGAACGCTTAAGAAAAGCGCTAGCTTCCAAGGACTTAACAGCTCTGTTAAAAGATTCTACTAGGAGTCACAAAAAGTCGTAACATGGAAAGTGTGAAAGAATCTTCTCACTATGGACTAAGTATTATGCATTCTTTAAAAAGCGGTGTGGAATAAATAATGTACTAGTACAAAAATAACATTCTACCATGAAAAAGCACATCCTATCTACGCGTGGATTCCTAATGTGAAGTACCTACTATGTTGCTTTCAGCACTACCACAAGAAAACATAACCATATAAGTACTGCATTTCCATAGGAAGAAATGCTACAGACCAATTCTGGTGAGAGGTGTGCCGTGCCATCTAAATATCTGAAACCGGCTACTTTGTTGGTGGACAATATCGCGCTCCGTTTTCGATTTCTCGTCTTCCGTCCTTTAAGTTGCTCCTTGCAACTCCCGCAGCCGGATGTTCCTCTGCGTCCCTGGTCAGCCCGTATTGTCTGCGCCACAGATTCTCATTCGAGCGCTCGGATCACTTTTCGAAAATTCTGTTTACTAAAGCTGGTTTTCCTTATTGCACATTTCTCTTTCTCGGTATTTTAAATGTTAAGTAAACATTTTCATCCTTTTGTAGGAGGTGGGGTTTAACGTAGTGGTTAGAGGCGCCCCACAATACAGATGATTGATCTAACGCTTCAGGCTCATCAAGCCTGCCATCCCTCCGGGTCGGCAAATTTGTACCAAACATGTATAGCAGCACTGACTCGATACATCGGTAGGGCAATGCGGGTCATTGTAAAAGCTAGGCATGCAATTACCTACAACGATGCTTAAGTCAAATGCATGACGTATCCCTCAGGGATTGATCAACACGAGCGTTATCCTTTTATCCTTTTATATTTTTCTTAGAGAGAACGCGTGTATGGCAGTGGTTACGGAGGCCTTGTAATACATGTGTGGTCTTTGGTTCGGTCTCGCCTCCATGCCCACTAAGCCCCCCATCCTTCCGAGGTTAGCAAATTGGGACCAGACTTGTCTGGGTGGGTAGCAGAACTGGCTCTTTGCATTGGTAGGCCACCACGAGTCATTGTGTAGAGCAGGTATCCATTCAGTCGCCTCTAACAATGCCCTTTAGCGTTGCTTGTTGAAGTCGAATGCGCTGTGCATCTCTCAAAAAGTGCTGAAAAACCCTTTATCCTTTATTTTAGCTATTCTGTTGATCAGTATTTTTCCTATTCGAATTCTATGCATGTATTACTTTATGTATTCGTTTCAGTTTTAGAATGACAACTGCTCATCGACCAACATTTCACCCCGCCAGAGGTGGTACGGGTAGGACAGAGGGAGATCTGTCAAAGCTTTCACAGCAGTACTCGTCGAAAGATATGCCATCACATACGAAATTGAAATATCGACAAACTGGACAGGGCACAGAAGAGGAGCTGAGAAGACGAGTAAGACGTTGAACATTTTTATTCTCTTCTATGGGGACGGTAGTCTATGGCACATAGAAATTCCCTAGGACTTGAGGCGTGAGCTTGAAGACAAGGAGAAGCTGGCATCGAAAGACAGACGTAGTCGCGACACTGCAACTTCTGGTTCTAGTAGCAAAAGAACGAGATTTGATGAGATTTCGCACGCAACAGTAGATGCAGATGAACCCTTAGATGAGGTACGTTCTGTTTTTCCAACTTCCACGTTGTTTTAAGAATGTGGTAGGTTTATAGGCAACAGCTTCTACTATTTAAAATACCATCACTCCGTGTTGTGCATGGGTCATTAGAAAACTATGTAGAGTAATTGTTTGCCAGCTGCTTATCTCATCATGGCAGGGAGGTGTTCTTGGTTGTCGGTCTGCGATGTCCAGCGAGAGGTTTCATCGCTGCAGCAGTGTCTCCGATGCTGAGAAGTCCGGTGTTTCCATCAGGAAGCCCAGCTAAGAGTAAACCAGTACCACCGTCCTGGTATCATGCTAGTGGCATGGTGGCAGATTTCCCTGTGTTCCACAAGGGCGGCTAATGCCTGTGGTGGTGACGAGTTGGAGCAGACTTTGACCAGGCTGACCTCGGGGCTCCAGGAAACCGCAGTGTCTAAACCAGCAAAATTTCGAAAAAAGGGAAGTTATGCAGGGGCTCGCACAATCAGTGACGACGGACCATGTTCGTATTACACTGGTTAGAAATCGGCTGGAAGTTCTGTTTTCTTACGCAGCTGTATTTAAAGTTGTTAGATTATGTTAGTATGAGCTAAAATTGCATCAATACTTCGTATTTGATGAATATAGTGGTGTTTTCGGAAGCATTCCACCGTTCTTTTTTTATCAATTTTTCCTTTACTCCTTTCATTACACGGCAAACATTTTTTGCCTTAGGATCCCACCAAATAACGCAGGAGTAATCACCAGTGAGCTAAACTGAGAAGTTATTTCTGCCGTTCATGAGCTCGGTATAGGTCAGAAATTATCCTGTGCTAACTTTACAGCTCAGTTCTAGAAAATAACATCGAGCCAAAGAGATCGACGGGGTGGTGTCGATCTGTAGGGCGTGAAGTTGGCTCACGCTGTTATCTTAACGGAGAGCACTTCACGTCCATATTTGTGGGTACGTGCTGCAGTTGGTTAAAAACCTTTAGCTATAATTCTTAAGAAATTTTGGGAATGCTGTGGTTGTTAGCATTTGATTCAATGCTATTCGTTTTAATTCCGTTAATGGCTGAGTATCTCTTACGAGCACCAGTACAATTCGTCCATTTCACTCTAGGGTTGCTTATTGATTTTCCTTCCTTTGATACATTCGAGAATATTCACAATTTTGTATGGAGTCGTTTAATTACATTCCTTTTGGCGAAACGATATAACCCTGAGGCTCTGTACACTTTGCTGCCAGATATCTTTTGACCGTAAAGAAGCAATTCGCATGAGTCAAAGTTTCAGCCACGAGAGCTTTCTTACAAATGCATTATGTATAGAGTTTTATTTCTTTACTATGACAGATATGTACAAAACTACTTTTCGACGAAAACAATAACATCGTAGGTATTTTGTAATGAAATTCGAAGAAGGATACTTGTTTCTAACATCTCCAAATCCAGTAATCGTGTGTTACAGCCTGATTCATCAGACGTTGACTCCGATGAGGACGACACTGCAGCACTAATGGCCGAACTGGAAAGGATTAAGAAGGAGCGCGCGGACGAGAAAGCTGCAAGAGAGGAAGAGGAGAAGAAACGTGAAGTTTGTGTTACAAGACAGAGGTTTTTACGAGGCCTATGGTTTCTTGCTCATTTTAGTTTCATTGCAGGAAAAGATTAGAATGGATAATATCCTTTCTGGCAATCCATTATTAAATATAGCCGAATCTGGGTCTTCATCTTCGAATGGTGGCGAGTTCAAAGTCAAGCGACGATGGGACGATGATGTTGTTTTCAAAAATTGTGCGAAAGGTGAAAATGTAGTTAAATGTCCTGATGAAAGCTAATGTACGGTATCTTTCTGTAAGTAGCAACTATATGCTCATATCTCCATTGTAAATGCGCGTGTAGCGCAGTGGTCGGTGGTGGCCTGCAATACATATGCAATACATGAGATCGATCCCCGCACGCTAGGTCCACCATGCCCTGCATCACTCCGGGATCGGCAAGTAGATGTCAGACTTGTGTGAGAGGATAGCAGTACTGGCTCGAAACATTGGTAGGCCACCACGAGTCATTGTAAAGGCCAGATATGCATTTAATCACCTCCAAACGGTATTTAGTGAAGTCGAATGCATGGCGCATTCTCCAGGTATTGATCAACGCCGATAGTTTCTTTTTTTTTTTATTTGCAACTTGCCGTCTATGGATTCCCACTTTTAACCAATGGCTTCCTGCTAGTTGTAAGATTTGAGGGCTCTAACTATCGACTGCAGAAAAATCTGTAGGTATCCATATTTCAGCGATTCTGGTTTTCTCAAGTCACCTTGCATTCCTGGAGATAACCGGTCTGTGTTCGCACAAAGATTGGAGGAGAGTTTTGGGAAAGGGTCGAACTAGCGCATGTGTTTCCTGATCGAAGGCACCACTAAACAATGTTCTACTCCCTCCACCTCAATCGTTGATTTGAATACTTTTATTGTTGGAGTGTGGCGACATGAGTTCAAAATCTAGTGGCATTTTTTTAGGTCTCGATGAGCGACGGAAGGAACCCTCATTCATAAATGATGCAATCCGTTCAGAATTCCACAAGAAATTCATGGATAAATACATTAAATGACATTTTTTTCCCGTTTGAACTGTACTTACTACTATAATTCCCCAGTTGCGATGTTATTTAAGCAGGGCGAGATGATTTCACTGGTTATCTGCATTGCACAATCTCTGTTTTTGAACATAAATGTTCTAATATCTCATGAATCTATCGAAGTACCAGTTGTTGCCTCAGTTTTACCGAGTTCTAATATGTGTCGTTTCGAAGCTTACTTGGGAAAGATCAACTTTACAACCACAGGATTCCTTTGGTTCGTTGTATGCTCCGTTGTTCTGACTTGTGATGGTAGATATGACATCTGCATTGGCTAATGAAGCAGAGAGGAATGCGACCGGCATGGATAATGTGAAAGTCAATGAACGTGTTGTTGTATGGCGTGTAGTGAACGGCGAAAGGAGGAGGGTGGGCTATTCAGATTAGCCGGTGTAAAATTTCATTTCAACTAGCTACTATTAGCTGCTTGCAGGTTCTGGCAACTCTGCTGAAGAAGAGAAGTTACGATTCTATGGTTTCACCTTGTGAATTAAGAGTGGGAGATGGTGGGAAAGAAGTAGGTAGAGATAACTTGGATTGGGTTAATATTTAATCAGTTCAGTTCGCTTTGCTTTGCTTAGTATATGCGCTGAAAATGACTTTGGTGGTGTGAAATTCCACTACAGTGATGCTGAGGTTTTTGCAAAAATTTGGACAGTAGGTGCTTGCAGCGGGGATCGAACTTCGTTATTACCCTTTCTGCGGGTTAATGTGTTCACCACCACACCATGCGTCTCCTTCGTTTCGCCTTTTTCTTAGCCGTCTTTTATAGGAGTTATCAGCAATTCTGGTGGTTTTTAAATAAAGGTGTTGCACATTGGTAAACACGTAAGGAGGCCCAAGTTTTCCAAAGTATTATTCCAGAATAAGGACGCGTCGGAAAGAAAATATGAATATTTTGTGCATTTCGAAGGGCAGGATCGTCGTCTTGATCAGTGGATAAGTGGCGATCAGTTAGTTGAATTGTTTCTATTCTATGGTGCTTTTGTACATTCTAGGCTAACTTGAGTTTTATTAACGTTGATCAATTTCGGGCTCATGTTTTTAAGCATTGTCTCATTTACTCGTATTTATGAATGGGATAAAGTTTACAACTCAAAACTAACCCAAAAGTGAGCCCCTTCGCGACTTCACCACAGTCCTAATTGTGCGTTTCTCATACTGCTACTAACATTTGGCCGTCTAATCCGCATAGTTCCTCCTCATAACCTTGAACGCCTACGAATTTTGCTTCACTGATTTTATTCCGACCTTTATGTAAACGTCTGTAGCAGGTGTATCTCATTGCAATGTAGTTGATTTGGAAAGGTTTATTGATTTAGATATTTAGATGGACCTTGGGGTTTTCGATAGCTTGCGGACTAAGTTTCTCTCACATCAAGAGTCATCTATCACCGAAAGGACCTTTTAGTGTCTCTACTGGATGTTATATTTAAATAATCTATCGATTGATGCTTTAGGTCTTATTATTTATATGAATTGACTATCTGTTATGGAATATTGCAGGTAACTTTACATTTTCACTTTTTAGGTTTATCGAACTAGCACCAAAACACTCTATCGTGGATATAGGTACCCTTTTTTGCGGTTCTCATTTTGATTTTCTTCACTCAGCTATAGGGTTGTCCCCACATGTTACAGTCATTTAAAGATATGAAGTTCTCCGCTTGCGAATTATTGCTTGATCATTCTATAGGATGGCGCAAAAGTGATTTAAGGAGGATGCGATCTCCGTCTTAGAAGAAAAAGACGGAGGGATCATGATGAAGAACTGCTTCCGTTGGAGAAATTTGGAGCACGAGCTGACAGTCATCGAAAAGTGAGTTCGGACAGATATATTAATTTCTTTTGTACTACTTAAGAAATAAGTACCGTTTTAGACACCACCGGAAAAGAACATCGAAAAAATCGTGTTTGGTAGCTATGAAATCCGGTGCTGGTACTATTCTCCTTATCGATTGAAGAGTAAAGCTGTGGATCGGCTTTTTGTTTGTGAGAATTGCCTTCTTTACACTGAGGATAGATGTCGCTATGCATGTCATTTAGTACGTTTGTTTTATTTATATACTTTCTCTACTTTTTTTTTGTTATATATGATTCAGGCTAACGACTGCAAACCCTCGTCTCCACCAGGCGAGAGTATTTACGAAGAAAGCGATATTAAAGTATATGAAGTGTTTGGTGCTCTGGAAAAGGTTAAGTTCTACGGTGATTATGCGTCGTATTGTTCTAGGGTTGAAGAGATTAATTCTATATGGAATCATGCTTAGCACTTGTTAGCCTTCAGCAGAAGTCGGCATATATAGGAAGACACTTTCGGTGTTTAATTGATATGCTTCTTTTATTCGTCAAGTATCTTTCAATTTAGTTATGTATCTACCTGGAATTGCCGACTACATTTTTTGTTATTTCGGGATACCTTTAGTAGCGGTTCTATCCAATTAAACACATTAATTACCTCTTTTCTTTTCAACCACCAGTTATTCTCCGTAATTGCAAAACCATACGAATCCGAATAATACTTAGTGTTCAAATGTTATGGAAGTAGGTAAATGGGATCCGTGAAAGGACAAGAAAAATGACACATTCCACCAGTGGGAATTCCATACCTTCAAATTTGCAAATTTATTACTTGGGCATTTGCTTGTCCCGTCTTCACTGGATGTGCGGGTTCCAGCATAGTCTCCATTGTTTCGGAGTTTTGCTAGCTTAGCCATTCTGCCTCCCTGGAGTCCCAAGGCCGGCCTGGCCAAAGTCTGCCCCGGATCGTCACCATCACAGGCTGTCGCCGTCTTTGTGGATCAGAGGGAGATTTGCCACCATGCGACTAGTTTGGTACCAAGACGGTAGTGGATCCTGATATCGATTTATTTTTAGCTGGGTTTCCTGACGGAAAAATCGAACTCCTCAGCTTGAATTGCTTTGCTGAGGGTATGAATTCCCTCGCTGTACATCGCAGCCCGACACCCAGGAACACCTAGCTACGATAAGGCGGTAAACCGTTAGAATGTTGGAAATTTATTACTTCGCGTAATGACTTAGTACTTGTACGAACCGACTAGTGCTTGTAGTGTTCATGGTTTTTAGCACCTACGCAATGTCCTTGTTAAGGTTTCGGTTTATTACGAGTCTGCAACTTAGTGTTCGATTACTGACAAGGGCAAAAAGTGCTGTGATTAAGATGGACCATAATACTCAGTAAACTCTAACCATCATTATAAGATGCTGACTGTGAGCAGCAACATGGTTGACGAAATTGGAAAGTTAGATCCAATGTTTTCCATACAATTAGGCTATGTATATCGCTTGATACCAATGAGATAATTTTACTGTTCATCACTATTTGTTGCGCTGCGTACAGAAAATTTTTCTCCATTCTAGTCTTCTAAGATCCATCAAAATGTAATTTATCTACGGTAACATTGAACCATTCGGAACTCTTGTTTCTTCAAAATATCTTACGCAGATGTCAGTGTCGCAGTCACTTTCATTCACCTTACAGTATACTGTTCATTTCGACGTTGTTTTTAATATTTTATTTGTCGATGAGAGTTGAAGCGAGATGTGTCCGTCATTCGTGGAAATTTTTGTTCTAGTTCCTATGACGGCCGAGATGTAGTGCAAGGTGCTAAACAGTTTTACACTGTTGGCCTTGAACAACGGTATGAACTGCCTTTCGGTGTACCTTTGTGAATTGCATTCTACAGTGATTGTGTACTAGAGCTATGCCATGTCTGTTCATGGATGACTTGTAAAATGATGGTTGTTGTAGTTTTCACTACGAGACGTCATTTATATGCACTTATTGTTGTTGTTGTCGTTGTTCAATGGTTTATGTTTCGCCGACTTCGCCTTAGACTCGCGCCGTTGGACCACCCGTGTGTTGTTCACGCGAGATGAACGGAGTTGCTCATCGTTTGTGAACAGTGGTCCATCGGCACGGGTCTGAAGAAGGCGAAGTCGTCGAGACGTCAGCTGTTGAACAACGACAAGATCAACAAAGAACATCTATACCAACCTCTAGTCAGCTAGAAAAGGGCCCATCGTAATGATGTGTATGTAGATATATCGATTATTATACCGAGTTTTATGCAAGTCGGTCTTTTGAGTTATTTGCACTTCGTTAACGTCAATTCAACTTTTCAATGTACTATGACTTTCATCGCCAGAAAGAGTTCATGTTCTCTTCCAAATATTCGCAAAAATATGAGTATCGAATTTCCCTATTCCAGTTATCGTCGATAGTTATTTGAAAAACTTTTTCTGTTATGGATATGTTATATATGTTGAAAGTGCTTCATATATAGTCTCATGTTAAATATTTCAGTTCTATTGCCAACGACTATGTCTGCTCGCTAAACTTTTCATTGATCACAAGACATTATGTTTCGACGTAGAGAACTTCATATTCTACGTACTATGCGAGGTCAGTTTCTTTCTTAATTCCTTGCCCTCTCAGGAATAGATGTATCAGGTGGTTCTATCTCGTAATTTATGTCTAGTTCGCGCGGGGGGAGCATGTAGAGCAGTGGTCGAAGGCGCCTTGTAATACACATAAGATCGATCCTCGCGCCCGTGGCTCACCAAGCCTTCCATCCCCCCGAGGTCAGCAAATTGATGCCAGACTTGTCTGCAAGGACAACAGCACTAGCTCGATACATCGGTGGGCCACCGCTAGTCATTGTAAAGGCTAGGTATGCATTCAATCACCTCCAAACGATGCCTAATGAAGCCGAGTGCATGGCAGATCCCTCAGGGATTAATCAACGCCGATAGCTTTATCCTTTATTCTTCTATCCTTTATGTCTAATTCAGATAGACGATGATGGCACTCATATCGCCGCTATGTTTTCGAAGGAAATGTATTCTGCGAATAATCTCGCTTGTATTATGACTTTGCCTTGTTATCAACGTAAGGGCTATGGAAATCTATTGATACAACTAAGTATGTTCCTCGACGATTTTTGCGGACTACATTTTTATTCTTCTTTCCAAATCAAATTTCTACTTTGTTGTGATGTTTTTTCAGGCTATGAAATGTCAAAAAGAGCAAAATACCCAGGTACTCCAGAGCGTCCGTTTTCGGACCTTGGTGAAATATCGTATAAAAAATACTGGTTGTGGGTTCTTCTGGAATTTTTTGATTGTACAGCAATGCGCAAGGCTAGTTTCATATTGATTTTCTGTTCACCACATACTAGTTCGTTTCTTTTCCATCTATCCTGGCGGCTTCTTTGCAGTTTACTTTCCAACTATTCATTTAGCAAGTTTATTCCTTCATTTCATGTTTTCTTTACTAGAACTGTTTTCTCTTGAGATTTATGTACGTGTTTAATGTGTATATGTAACGTTTTACTGTTTGACTTTATCACGTACCAATTCAAGGTGGAAGACGTCACCGTAGACGATCTTGAAGCGCTCGTTGGCATTAACAAAGAGGATATCAAAGCCACAATGGGACCAATTGGACTGCTTTCTCATCTTAAGGGTATGTTTCTATTACGGAGTACACCTTTTAACTCAATGATTGCCGATACAGTTGTTTAATATGTTGTTGATTTAAAGGCGGAACGTACATAGTTCATAACCCGAAGTTGGACCAGGATAGCGGTGTTGAGCGACCAGGTCCACCACTAAGGCGTCTCAATGCGAAATACCTAATTTGGAATGCAAAAAGTTTTGATGGACCGAAGAGACGTAACTGAGTTCTTGATGGTGAGGATGCTATATGGACATAAATAATGAGAATCCCTCAACAGTTGCATAATTCTTCCTCTTTGACACTTACTATGCCGTGAATTCTTGAATGATAAGGCTCGTAGGTTCTCTTCTTTGTTGCAGAATAAAAATCATTCGATTGCTTCATTGATCTCCAGTTTCCACCGTTTTTACATTTTTTTTTATTTTTCACTTTAATTCTAACTCCATGGATTTTCCTCTATGTGAATTTCTACTTTGTTACGCTTATGAACCGGTTTTTGTACCAGCTGCACTATCGTATGAAGAGTATATATGAGACTTGTATTCTGTAGGTTGAAAAGTGAACGCAGGGCAATTCCAATAGTAAGACTAGCTTCAATATCGCAACTATTAGGTGCAATTTTATTAACACATCTGGTTTGTTCTCATCCATGAAGCCATTATACTCCGAATCAGTTCGAGATTTCCATCTAACCATTTGCTTAGGATGATGTCTGCTTTGTCCTCAAATTTTGCAGTTCCACTCATTAGTAGGTTTGGAATTACGTAGCGACATGAAGCTGTGATTTTATTTCGTTTGTTGGCGTTAACGAACCCAAAGTAAATTTCTTCCCCTTTTAATTGGATTGTTCGTCAGATATACTTTTGTGCATTTTACTTTTGCTTGGACAGGTTTGGACTATGTCCAAGTAACATCTGCCAGTGCTGCATTAACACCGCGGTAACATTCGTATAGAGCAGCATTGTTAATTTCAACTGTTTTAAACGTTTGGGATTGTTTTAGAAATGGTTATGTGAATGACCACCTAATGGAGTGATATATTCACCGAAATAGCAGTAATTTATGATATAATGAATTAAATCGCAAGAGGGTGCATGTGGCGCAGTGGTTAGAGGTGCCTGCAATACACACGTGGGTGTTGGTTCGACCCCGTACCTCGGACTCACCAAGCATTCTATCCTTCCGTGGTTTGCAGATTGGTGGCAGACGTGTCTAGAGGGATAGCAGCATTGAGTTGATCCATCGGAGGATTTTGCAGGTAGAGGAGATAGAGGCCAGATAGGCATCCAGTCATCAGTAACGGTGCGTAGTGAGGTCGAAAGCATGGCGCATTCCTCAGAGATTGGTTGAAGCCGGGCGCTTTGTACTTAGTTTACTACCAAATCGCAAGTAGCTGTTCTGCATTCGTTGTACGTTTGTGTTCTAGCAATGTAGCAACTGCGCATAATGGGAAAGTAAACGTCGTCATCACATGTTTTAGTCATCGAAAATTAGGCGTCATCGTGAATCTATTAAGTGGAACCAGTCTTATTTAGTAAACGTTTGAAAGAGTATTATCACGACTACCTCCACTCGATGATCTGTTCTGGAACATTCTTTAAGGACAATGGACATTTCCATAGTGACATTACCAGTTCGATATTGTGCCGTTGTTTGGTTGCTGTTCGGTTTTTTGAGCAAGAAGAAAATTAGAGAATGCGTTCGTTCTGCGCAAAGAAAAAGGCGCTCCCTTGTGTAAAACATGTAGAAGGGGCGTAAATTTACTCTTTCTGAGTGCATTCAAGTTCCTTTTATGTCCCGATCTTAGACATCTTAAGATTTCACTTTTGGTTTGCATTGGCGGAAAGCGTTCTTTTCTTGTATTTGTAGAGTTTAAATAAATATGATTAAAGAAGCTGTTTAAATAAATGTGGATCGGCATTAGTTATAAGTGCTTCAGAAAACTTGATGGTAACCTGCAACTGAAGCTGGCAATGCTGAAGACTACCTCCTATCACTACCACTTATATTTTTAGGGAAGACGAGTGTAGCGCTGCGGTCGTAGACGCCCTGCTATACACACTGGATCGATCCTCGCGCTACAAGCCCACCAAGCCCTCTATCTCTGTGGGGTCGGCAAATTGATACCAGAATTGTTTGGGAGGATAGCAGCACTGGCTCGACACATCTGCAGGCCACCGCGAGTCATTATCAAGGCCAAATATGCATTCGATTATCTCCAGCGATACTTATTTGCATCACCATCCATTCAGCAGTTAGAACTTTTAAAATTAAACCAGCAATTAAAAGGAATAGAAGTATTTCATATTATTTCCGAAATAAAAGCAGTCCAGTTCACAGCGAATGCGATTTTATTTCATAAACATATTATTATTACTTGCGCCATAGAAAGAACTAGTTTTGGACAAGGGGTCTTCGTCGTGGCCCGTGTTCAGAATAGCCAAGGTGACTGAGTATTTGCATTGAGAGACGGTTATGTTGAAGTGGTAGGACCATTTTATTTGTTATACGGGATTGCTTTAAAATATCTCCAGACATGCGCGCTATTTATTACATACAATTGCAGCTGGAGGAAATCTTCGCTGCCCCAGCCAGACTTATCAATTCGAGTTCAAGGAATTTGTATCGAATTTGTCCGGGAACTTCCCTTGGATCTGCGAGACCTAGGGGCATCTTATCAGGGCAGTTCTAGGATTTGAGGGAGAATCGACTTGACCAGCATTCATCGATGTTTATAAACAGGAAACAAAATCCCCACGTTTACAAAAAGGAATAAAAATTTCCAACTTACAATAATGTGAAAACCTTCGTCTATCATGGGTGCGAGGAAACGAATCGAATGGGAGAAGTACTTTGATCAGCACAATGTGTTATATCGGGTGATGAAAAGGTAAAGAAAAATTGTGTAAGAGGAAGGAATGGTAGCCTATCATGGTGTAACATGGCTGGGTATTGGATATTTCTTTCCTTTATTTCATATGCAGCCATCATTCGTGAAGTATTTCATTTCCATAATGTGGATTTTGGATTTTTCTAGTTAGTGTTTTAAGGAGTGGCTTTATTTATGTAAGGACCAACTCATTTGATGATTTCACTTGACTGTTACCAGGATATTTGAATACTCATGTGCTGTGGTGCCTCACCATCAAAAATACGGTGCTCCACAGTGCATTTGTTCCTTTCCGTTGCGGCTAAGCAGTCGTATAGGTTCTGGCCTTAATGGATGCTTTAACCCATAACACGCAAAAGGCATTGGATACAATGTATTTGGTGTGAAAACAATAGCTACCTACATCTTTGGACCATTTGAGCTCATATCTAACTTTATTGATTGAAATCACATTGCTAATTTCCTTATTTACTGCCTAGTGCAATTTTTCACAGCAGGGTATTATACCAAACTGCAAAACTTCGGACCGCAGATGTCTGCGGTGGGGATCAAAGATGCTGTTAGCTTTTTCATGGACTAATCCGTTCCTCACTACACCATGCAGGTTCCTCGCTTTGCCTTTCAGCTAGTTTTCTATCTACCAGTACCGTCACACTTGACACTTGAATGGCCCGTCCTCACTGGCTGTGCGGATTCCAGCATAATCTCCACTTTTCGGAGATTTGTTTGTTAAGCCATTGTGGTTCCCTGGAATCCAGAGGTCAGTTTGGCCAAAGTCTGCCCCAGGTCTTCACCATTATGGGCGGTCGCATCCCATGCGGATCAGAGGACGATTTGCAACCATGCGACTTTCATACCAGGACGGTGGTGGATCCTGGTATTGGTTTACTCTTAGCTAGCCTTCCTGATGGAAACGCCGGACTCCATCTCAGCTTGGAGACCTTGCCAGGGGATGAATCCCCCGCTGGACATCGCACTCTGACACCCAAGAACACCTCCCAACTACGATGAGGCGGTGAATCGTTGCGAGGACCAGTACCATCAACAGTCATTTATTGAATAATGAACTGAGTTGAATTCATTTCAGCATTTACCATCATTTGTTTATTGAAATTAAAAGTATTAGAATCCACAGATTTCTGCCTATAAGATGCAAGTTGTTTGATTATCTCAAAGTGAAAATTTGATTTTCTGGAGCTGATAACACTTGTTTCAAAAAGTGGGATTTAGTTCATTAGAACACAATGACGTTATCGAGTGTATCTTTGCGCTTGTTACTCCCATTCTTTCGTTGGGAATTTTAAAGATCTCAGTTCTCTCCTCAATTTTTTCCAAAACGTACTTCTGGGTATATTTAAAGGTGAAAAGGATACTGCGTAGAAATACCCACAATTAGGACGATAGAACAAAATCGCTTGGATACCCTTATAAAGTTCTGAATTCCTGAAATTCATTGGTTATCCAGAAATCCTCGTTAGTCGAACAACCAACACCGGGCGCGGGGGTTAGGTGGTGAAGGGCGTCTTAGCGCTCGCTCTACCGCTCTTCAGTGAAATTCAACTGCAATATTTCTAAGAGAGCCTCTCATTAATCTCGGCATCGATCACAAATTCACTGTCCTCTCAATGAGCAAGCACAAGGATCTTAATATACATCTTTATCCATAATAAAGCTGACGTTTTGCTTAAATGATCTTCCGAGGATCATGGTGAAATCTGCCAAAATGACAATTTTTGTTGGTAAGTAAATAGTATGACAACCTTAGTAGCTCCTCTAGCGCAGTGATCGGTGATAGCCTGCAATACACATGGGATCGATCCCTGCGCCCAAGGCTCACCAAGGCTTCCATTTGTCCGGGACTGGCAAATTGGTGTCAAACTTGACTGAGAGGATAATATCACTGGCTCGACAATTCGGCAGGCCATCATGAGTTATTTTAAAGGCCATATATACCTTCCATCACTTCCAGCGAAACTTAGTGAAATCGAATGCGCGGAGCATCCCTTAGAGATTGGTCAGCACCGATAGTTTTTAGCTTTTTTAATAACAACCTAGCGTTTGCTCATCAGTTGATAGGTGAATAGTCAACTTCTGTATTGTTGATGAATGCTTTTATTTATGTCTAAGGCTACGTAAATTCAAAAGAAATCCTCATTTTGTGCAAAATTTCGCTGCATTCGGTTTGACTAGACGGTACGCTTAACACTTACATATCGCTGTATTTGAAAGTTCTGTAGACGTCCGACTCATATCATTGCGTGTGTGACAATTTTGAGGAAACATCAGGCACAATAAAGTGTACTGTTTTTGATTCTAAAGTACTGTAAGCTTGTAAATAGACGAGAACATCCATCGCGAATCGTTTGCTGTGGGACTGTGGAGGCTTCCAAATAGTGTGACAATGTCGTCATCATATTGAATGTTATGGTAGTCAAGCAGTAATGTATAGAAACCAATTTCTCATTACAATGAAGTTTTCTGCTGCATTGGATGGTTGTCCTTTCGATTGAGAGAAGTCACTGGAAAACCTATTAACATGGAGCCATGACGTTTGCGGTCAATAAATGTTATCTACGAGACGTCTGTGTTTTGAGAGAGCGATTTATTTCTCATAGGCGTAGAAATCGCAAGCACCAAAAATCAAATGCTTACCATTGTCTTAAAAGAAGAACAGTTTCCGCTTGTATGTCCTTTATACGCGTCAATCATTTCACGGAATTGACACCGCTTTTACATCTGTTACTGTAACCTTGTTAAACAAGTTTTCATAACCGGGCTCCGTTACTTCAAAGGTTATGTTGCCTTTCTTTTGCAAAGGAAACTATGTGAGGGTTTTTTACACAGTCGAAATTCTTCTTTGTGTTTGCTCATTTTTTGT